CCTCTCATGATCACAGCAGCAGGCCTCCGCCAAAAGTCGGGCGCGCTCGGAAACCCTTTCTTACCCCCGGCCCCAATAGTTTGCAGTATCTCCGGCCCACTTTTGCCTCTACTCGCATCCATGACTTATGGCCTATCTGAGTTATAGGAAGCCATCTTACTGGTATTGTGTCCTCATGGGGCAATATAGTAGAGTAGGAATGGTAGAGGGGAGTTAAGGAGAGCCGTGAACATTCAAGAACATAGGAGCATGGTTACCCCGACTAAAAACAAGGCGAATGGAGCTCTAAAATAGGAGCGCGCCCGACTCACCCTTAATACCGAGACAGTGAAGTTCTCATCCAGTTTAGAGGTATAGTTAACCGGTCGTTCAAGAGATGAATGATAAGAACATTGGAGAACAAAGGACAGGTTGAACCGAATGGAAACTAAGACAAAGAACTCAAAACACCTTGAAATATTATAGCAGGGCCGGGCTATCCCTTGGGCGGTGTGAAACAGTAAAATTCGCACCACGCACGCTAAGCCTATCTTAGAACGATTTGAACTTCGCGATTTGCTGAGTATTTCCGACTCGCTAAGAGTGCTGAGTCATTTGAGCACCCAAGCGATAAAAAATCAGGGTTTCTGACCTAACTTAGCTGACCGTTGCCAAATCTGGTCTTAGCGTACCGTGGTGCGAATTTTACTGTTTCACACCGCCCAAGGGATACAGGCCGAACTTGATAAATTAAGCTATCTACGGAGGCACAGCGTGTAAGTTTTGTAGGTTCCACAAACCAGGACTGCCACCTCGCCTCCTGTGTAACCTACGAAACTTCCACGCTATCTCCTGGGCTGCTGAAACCGTGGAAAATTTTGTGCCGCCCCTGTCAGTTTCTAAGACACAGATGACTAAGGTGCCTTCACAGTATTCTTCAGTGATGCTATGAGTAGATATGATCATATAACCAAATTTGGCTATGGTCTGAGGTTTGCATGTCTGCGAATTTGTAGTAACTAACAAAACCAGGCTATATGATCATATCTACTCATAGCATCACTGAAGAATACTGTGAAGGCACCTTAGTCATCTGTGTCTTAGAAACTGACAGGGGCGGCACAAAATTTTCCACGGTTTCAGCAGCCCAGGAGATACCTCCGTATGCCAGGGCGGCCTATCAGACAGTCGGTACTACGCCCACTGTAAGATCTCAAATAACCGAACCAAGTACTATGTAGTTGAGAATTACCAACTTTAGAAAGGGGCGAAAATCACCGCAGAAAAAAAGCTGCCCGAGCCCCCCGCGCGACAGAAAAAAAAAGGAAACACAAGACCTTACTAGAAGTGGTAACTCCAACGACATAGCATTCGGTTCGATTATTTGAGATTATATAAGTACTCGAGTACAGCCTAGGACTGGACCCGGCCCTGCGATGCTCAGGAATTTTGAGGCCCGCAGGCTTAGCCGAGGCCAGATCCTAGGGAATTTTAACAAGCCAGGCCCGGTTTTAGTATAGTCTAGCCTACCTAGCCTGCTGGGAAAACTGACTCTAAGGCAGGAAATTCCGCAAATGCGTATGCTACAAGTTCACGTTCACGGTATAATCGGTGTTCAGGAACGTGATGAGACCGACAGGGATTCAGAGGCTACAGCTTCTTACCCTCCCTGGACACCTGTTAGAAAATAGCACGAGTGTGAACTGAAGGCGTCGGGGAGATATGAGACCTCTGTGATAGAGGATACTACCTACATGCGTATAGTGTTGTGTTTGTGGGGTAGATGACGTACACCTAGGCACCTGACAGATCTGTCAGTCAGGACTGGACTTGAGCAACCGTGTTGTCTTTCTTTACACTTCACTGGTCTTTGTCCTTTACACATCTTTCCTTAACTGTTCTTTTTCTTTTCTTTATCTCGTTTTAGTTTCCCAATAATGATTGCATTCTTGCCTTAGCGAGTATCATAGTAACCGAACAAATCTTAACAACACCCGAGTAGAGAGAACCGGAACATCTGAGTTCGAATTTAGTACTGTATGAGCGCTCAGATACCCACAAGTAATTTTCCATACAAATTTTGATCCCATATTTCTAGCGCCTTGTGGTAGGGGCTTGTAGCGAGGGCGTCGCTAACCACGGAGGGGGATCTCCAGCAGGCTTTCGGGAGAGATGACGAATGGGGACAATTTGTCTAGGGTCGCTGAAACTTGTCAAGAGCGGAGTTGACAAGTATCATACCGTGAAGTGTTCTTCTCTGGTGTTCACCCGCTCGGCAAAGGCACTATATCGACACTAGATATTCGCGAACAGTTCAGCTCTAACAATATTTAGTCATACATTTTTGTACCAGTACAGAAGTGGTAATTGATCGTGGGCTCGTTATGGTTGTACAAGCTCCGCATGCCCAGATCGTTCCAATAAGTTGATTTAATGTTCACCTTATCCTTACCCGCGGGATGATTGAGCCCCCAGATAGGTAATTGAGCCGATTCCGGAGATCCTCTTCCCGCCGCTAAGAGGATGTGTGTTGTAACTTCGAACCTCCGATAGGTATGGTAGTTCAACCACTAACTTTCACGGAGAAAATATCTTACCTGTCGGTTTCTGCTCTGATGAGTTGATATGAAAATAATCGCTCACAGGATACCAGTCTAGTACCGTTCTTGGAGCTACCAGTAATATACCGCAAGAACTCGAATAATTGGACCCGAAGCTATGACGTCGGAGTTCCCTTTGCTAATAAAGTCAAGCTCTTTTTTCTTTTTATTTTATTTTAAGCTCCGGCCGAGGGGGTCAGTTTTCGCCGTGCGCTCGCTCCCTCATCCAAGAGAGGGAATTTCGGACGTCTTAGCCGCGGGTCCAATTATTCGAGTTACAGTACGAGTACCGTACGATATCTTGGTTGTGAAGATTTCTTTAGCGATCATCACGTGAGGCTAATTAGGACGTCGATCCCGTTGAACCATGAAACTGATTGGTGGGTTAGGTTTACTCAGTAAAAAAGGCGGAATACAATGCTCCAGGGGCCATTTTCCACCGCCGCCTAGATGCATCTGCGAGAATGATGAGAATTATTAGTATTCCCCTGCCTCCCAGCAAACCATTACCAGCACTCTTTTATTCCCGACAGAGAAATGGTCCAGTTGTTGCCTGATAGTTCTGCACGTGTCCATAACCCCCTCCTCGTGGCCCGTCCGCCGGTTGACAAAATGAACAACTGACTTATGGCCGACATGGTACACCCGGAGGACCGTGCTGACTGTTTGATACAAGTGGAAACAGACTAACTCCACGTAATAACATACCTTAATACTCCGTCTATAATCCTCACCGGGCCCCGGATTTCTCTTCATCCCCCTATTTTCCTTAACTCGCTTTACTGAACACCTACGGAGAAGACACAAAAATTCACGAAATGGCTGCACCATTTATCATCCTCCCCTCAGAGCTCCTCCTCGAAATCCTTCAATCGCTCCCGGACTTCGCGACCCTACACGCTTTAACCCTCGCTCACCCACGCTTCAATAACATCTTCCACGCAAACCCAACAACAATATGCTCTTCCATAGCTAAATCCGATTTCGCAGAAACATACTCCCTTGCCCTGTCCATCCTCCCAGCCCCGACATCCCCACGAGAAATCGGAATAGAAGAGGCCATCGAACTTCTACATACCCGGTCAACTTGCCAGAAACTAGCCGACGCCTGGGGATGCTCACTTTTGGAAGCGCTAGGATTTACGGACGGTTACGGCGCGCCGGTAATCACTCAGGTGCAGAAACGCCGAATCATCACGGCGGCTTATCGCTTTTGGCGGGTCGTTCATGACACGAGTTACATCGCTGAGTTGGACGACCTCGCGATACTTGAAATGACGGAGTTCGTGGGGTTACTGGGAGAGCTACGGATGTTCGAAGGGATGGGCGATCGGGTGGAGGTTATCACGGCGAAAAATTTCTTGCAAAATCGTGCGAAGCAATCGGGTTTGAAAGTGTGTGTTGTGAACCTTCGGTTGGTTAGAGAGTGGTTTGGGGAGTAGAGTAATGGCGGAGTGGTTTGTTTCCTTTTTTGCGTGTTTGATCCCATAAATTCTTATTGTTTGATAGAGGCTGGCTGCGGTACGGGCGCATAGATGGATATAATGTAATTTCTTTCTCTCAACCTACTTCATAATATACAGTATATACGTGCATTTACTGGGGGCCTGCCGGAAATGGTCAAGTCGAGAGTGGGGGAAAAAGCGTCGCGTGAGTGGGATACGGGTGAACATATCATGCTCTTGGAACCGCACTAGCACACTGCTGGAGGTGTACCCTGAGATCGATAGAGCGCCGAAATACCGGTACACTAAACTCGCACATGAGTAAACCCCCAGAAGAAATCAACAGCGACCAACAAACCTTTGCACCAATCCAGCGGTAATCAGAACTAGCCCCATGGTATGAATCGCCAAGGCGGCAAAGATTTTAAAAGAGAAGAAAATTTGCGAGGATTTGGAAGAGACAAAAAAAGAAGACTCGCATGACTTCCAGTTATGCAGCCACGCGCCCTGCTGGGACTTGGAATGTGACATTTTGAACACCTGAAACGGCACGCTTCGGGTGGACGGGTAGGAAATCCGACCCGAACAAAGTTTGCAAAATGTGGTCCAGGGCATACGACAAATCAACAAATCGACTAATCTAAGCATCGCCAACTTCAAATTAATACGGGTGAAAATCCGTAACCTCCATATACGAGTATAATCCCTCCTCAAGAGATCCACGGAAGGAATTTTTAAAATATTCACTTGAGCAGAATCTAGGTTGATTTTAAGTTTCTTGGGGGCTTGCCCGACCGTAACGGGTGACAGCCTGGTATGATTCTTCCCGATTAGGAAGCTACCGCAGGATTCGTGCCACTGCTGGATTAGTGAGACGATGAACTGCTTAATAAGCAACCCTGAATTAACGGAAGGTGTTGGCTTGTTTCATACCGGTCGTCCCTGGACAGTGCGAGGGAGAAAAGTAAAAATGGAAAACCCAACGTGGGGGTCGAACCCACGACCTTCAGATTTCCGGGGTAGAAGTCTGACGCGCTACCATTGCGCCAGCCGGGTTACCCGGGAGGGGTTTCGAAGATAACATTATGAAGAATTATTGGTGCCTGGGAAGATGAGAGAGGAGGTTGTGGCGGGGGTTTTTGTTTTTTTGGGTTGTGGAGGGAGTACCGGTACTCGAGTAAAGGTTGGTTGGTTGGCAAGCAAGGGTGCGGCTCTGCAGGTGTTTACGTTCTTGGTAACTTTGTCGCATGGGACAACGCCTGGCTGCCTGCATGCTTGTGCGACGTTTTTTCCTTTTCTTTTTCCTTCAGCCCTTCGGTTCGCCGGTGGTAAGGATGGACCCTGGCGGCAGCAGGTTTATTGAGCGGAAGTTATTGGGCTAATCGCATATCGCAGGATCCAAATGTTTATCGACCCTTTTACGGGTTGCTCTTTAGCTTCGTTCCCTTCGGTGTCTCGCGACCAAGGGTCCATTGCCGGAGTTTCCGGCTGGCTTGGTTCAAGAGAATAATATAACTGCGCTCCCTCGAGCGCTGGGTTCTAGCCGACCTTGCGAAATGAAGGAGAAGGCGAGAGTGAATTTCTCGCATTCCACGGTAAAAAAGTTTCCTACCGCGGTCGCTGCTACTTGTACGTGGGATGTGGGGATGACTAGTACTTGAAAATGGTTAGTACAAGTACTTGTACAAGTATCGGTATGTTACTATTCCTGGTAGCAAATTATTACCTTTGTTTTCATCTTTATTAATGCGGCTGACCGAAAGAAGTTAGGAACTTTAGTATGATATCATAGTCAAATAATTGTCTTTTCGCTATCAGTCAGTGGGTGTGTGGCGTAGTGGCGCTAGGGGAGACTCTTTGGTCCCAGGGCCATTCGTTGCCCATCTTAAACGCCGGATTCTGTCGACTGAGTATTGCGGTTGCGATTTCTTGTAGGAGAAGGGGGGCTAATGTGACTTGTTATGACCTAAATCCAGGCGATAGAGGATTAAGTATGCTTGATGAGAGAATTTGACGGAAGGATTTTGAAGTTTGGAAATCGACTTCGTCGGTAGGAGATATATCATACTCTATCAGGGGCAACAATTTATGCAGCGGCCTTTCGCATTCTTCAAAGACGACAAGCAGTATTGTACACGAAATTAATGAGAGTGTTTATGTATGATAATTATCATAGTCACACCTGGGCGGCTTTACCCTCATATTGTGCGTTGGGAGGTATAGCATACGGAGGTAGTGGGCTAGTTGAATTGTCCGTAGACAAAATTAACCGCGGACCAATCCTCCTCATCACCCCACACTTTCAACGCCACCTAAAGGACTTTCTCTAGCTCAAATATTAATTTTCACTATGTATTCCACCCTGTACTTACATTTTTGATTGTTTTTCCTTAGCTTTAATAATAGTGGGGTTGATGGTGGAGTGTTGTTGTCATTGCCGAAAAGTTTTCCTCTTCAACGAGTCTTCGTTGATTCGCGGTGAATTTTGTCCACGGACAAGAACGTCAATAATATTATGCTTCACGCTGTCTGTATAACTGTATTAAATAGAAGAGGTCGAACACTTCCTGGGCGGGGGGGACAATGCATCATGGACTATCTTATACCTTAATTAGTTCACGATAGGGTATAATATCTCGTGGCAACCGCTTTAGCGGGCCTGAACCCCGGCCCTCGCCCCCAAGAATGACACAATTCCGGAGCTTCATGCAAATAAAGACCCAAATCCTGATGAGTTGAAGCGCGCTGAAGAACCGGCATATGAGAACCAAACCCCTCATGCTAGCCTCAGCTTTCTCCCTAATCCGGCAGCCTCCTTCTTAAGCTTATATACCTCTCGCCGCTCTTGACACCACGTGTTCTATTATAACACCAACACGTATTTATCCGCCTTTTCTTGGACACAAGCATGAGCGAAGCTTCAAGTGGCCGTCGGGAGACCAATCCCCCGCCCGGTCAGGAAAGTACTCAATGCACAACCCCTGTTACCGAGACTAACACCGAGCCTATTAGGAGGGCTTCTCTGGATAGGACGAGATTTCTCTCATCGGAGGCGAGTCGGAACAATACTGGGGCATCTAGTTCTACTGAAGCGGCTGGCCTGGTATGCATGCCCCCACCGCCGGTACCGGTGTCTGCTTCTATGGCGTCGTCGCTACAAGGGGTGAGATCTGGTAATCTGAGGGATAACTCTGGAGAGTCTCCGGCGGTTTCCACAGCGGCTAATTCTGTACGATCTGTGGCGCCTCCGCCACTATCATATTTTGATTCCCAAAGACTAGGGGATGGGGGCACTGCTTATAGCGAGAATGCTAGGTTGTCTCTTTCTCTCCGCTCTTTCGCAGCTTCGGCATATAAGGAATTTGAGGACTTTGTTGAAACCGATCTTTTGGAGGGGCCCGGGAGTGACCATGAGATGACTGATATAGATGCGAGACCTGCTCTCTCCGAAGGAACTGAGACACGTAATTAGCCCTCCATAGTAATTCCGCCCAGAGGCATCAGAGGCATCAGATTTAATTTTTATGTGAATTCAGATCTTCCTTTTGGGGTTGACAGGGAGGGATTTTTCCCAGCTCTGGCGAGCACTATTCCACCTCCACCAGCTTTAGCATTCTACCCCTTGGGATCACCGAGCCAATTTTCGGCCGCTCGCGAAATGGGAGCTATTCCTCCTCTTCCAATCAACCCAGCGATAGACGCACCTCCACCGGCGGCACTTCCGATCGATCCTGAAGTTACTTTAGCGCCTCCTCTGGCATCTGAGGCATCTGAGGCATCTTACAGACTGCAACAGGACCAGCCACCCCCGGGGTGCCATGAAAATCTGGTGGCGGTCGAAAAAAATCCGTATTACTCTTCCGGGTATCCAGTTCCGCGATTCCGAACAATGTCACACAACCCATGGGTTATTGCGGAAGGAGACATTTCCATCATTAGCGGGGCGTCAATGGCAGGGGGATATTCTACTGTCGTGGGGGATCAGAATTTTGGAGGTCCATCACTCGATGGCACAGAAGATATGGGCACTGACGGTATTGAAGGGGGATTTATCCCCATCTCCGCTATCACAAGACCTGGATTCTCCGACGAAACTCTTCTTAGCCATTCCGGAACTGATCAAATGCAGGAGTGGGCAGGCTCTGCCTACCGCACCCCCGAGCCACCAATGTCCAGCCGTACAAACCCCAGATACAGCAGCGTCGGTGAGCCATATCTGGATTCTCCTGTAGACCCGCATCCCCGGAGACTCTCCCAAACAAGTACAGCGCCACTGAGCTATCACTCGTACCCCATAAATCCTCTCAGAATTGGCGAACAACTGGTATCCAACATTCCCTCACCGGCAACAATCAACCCTAGGGCCACCTATAGCTCATACCCACCCCTGCCGCTTCCTCCTCATGAACAAACTTACAGGCCATGGAGCATGGATGTTTCCGAAGATGGGACACAGTTTATTTCGTTGGGAGATTGTGATTTGAGCGTGCGCTCTCAGGGAGATGAAGACGGAGCTGGCCCTAGGGCTCGGATCGGTGGGCCGGGGGGACGTTTGAATACCGTGGGTGAGCCAGTGTTGAGGATTAGGGGGTCTAAGTCTGGAACTAAATTTGGTTTGTAATCCTTTATGCCTTTTCTCCTCCCCGCTAGCCCTCTCCTTTTTTTGCTTGACTGTCGTATCCTTCCAGAAGTGAATTCCTCTCGTTTTAGTCTTAATAATTCTGATTTGTGGAAACAGTCACAGCTACACCTCCGGCTGAAGTGCGTGAAGGGTATATAGACAGCAGTGACTCGTCTAGCCTACAGCCAGTGACCAAGAAACAGCGCACCAGTCAACAGAGGCCGCAGACCCGCCACACTTCCGTGGAGACTTCCACCGATGATGCAAGTATAGCAGATGGTGGTTTATTTACCGGTGGAAAGTCTATACCTAGTTGGATGCCGAGAGCCGTTGCCACAGAAGAGGCAAAGCGTGATGCTGGGACGAGAAAGGAGCAGACAATGACACCAACAAGGAGGGACCGGAAGACTCAAAGCTCCATGGAAGCCGTACCTCACAGAGTTATGAAAGCTTCAACTACAGCAGCCAAGGAACTAACTCTAACTGAAAAAACCAGAGTATATCTAACCACTAACTCTACGCCATATAAAAAGGAGGATGCGGACAAGATGGATGACGATTCCTTTCTGGCCTCGGAAGAGCGAGTAGTAACGCCTGCCTCTAGAAGACTTACTCCTATTGTGGAAATTATCGTACCTGCCGTTCCTCGCACTGTTTCAAAGGTTCTTACAGGAGTGGAACCGGTTGCCGAAAAACGTCGATCCCGTGGGAGGCCGCGCAAAATTGTAGTTTCAGATGAAGCTGTCACCTCTGAGCAAAATACTATCACTGACGCTGGGTTGTACACAAATCCTGTGGTTGCGCTCGGATGGCTTGTTCCGTATAACAGTAGGTTATGACTTCTGCGGCTGTTATCATTACTAATTGATTATCTGTAGGAGGTGAGCCTATTTGTTTACCGGGTTGCGAGAGTTTACCTGGAACTATAGGTTGCCTGAGATGTTTTGATACGATGTTTCCGTAAGTTGGCTTCTTTTTTTATGGGGGAGTAGACTAATTTGATAATGGTGTCCTAGTGGGAGGAGGGAGAGAGAAGGTTTGACGAAGTATGTTGGCTGTCTCCGACACCTCAGAATTCCTGATGGGTTTCGGATTTCGAGGGCAATTTTTTAGATGTGTAGAGGCTAACGGTAATAGTCCGGAGATGGTTTTCCGCCGCTTGCATCCGGGTGCTTCGTCCGCTGCTTTGTCTCCTAGAGAAGCACAAGGGGTTCAAGGATTACATAGTCTACCAGCTCTACCTAAGACATCTGCTAATAAACGCCTTCAATTTCCTGCTCTTAAGAAGGAAGCTGAAGCGCTGAATAGTCTATCCGACCCCCCTAGAAGAAGAAACACGCCTACCCCATCCCTGAGCGGATTGTCAGAGAGATCAGTCAAAAAACGTTCTCTCCCTCATGGGGAAGCCTCGGGTGCTCGCGTAGTAGGGAGGTGG